TGGCTACAGCCATCACCACAGGCTCCGTCAGTTTGATGGCGAATGTGGACGCGGCCTGAAACACGCAGGATGAAGAAAGTGTGCTTTTCGTTTTTAGTCTTCGTAAAGTTTATACGGCGCTCGCAACTGCATAAGGTCATAATATGAGCGCCAAGGGGTGGATGTCAACAGAGAAGTCCAAACGGGGAATCAGGCTTACTCGGCTCACCTCTCTAGCCTCAGCAGCACAAAGTCTGCTTCGACTATCAAAGCACACAGGAAATAGCAGTTCACAAGAGTGACAAACATACAAAAGAATTAGAGGAAAAATGGCGATAGTAAGGGTTAGGGAAAAAAGCAGCACTTCCCTGTAAGCAGTTCAGGCACAGTTATGAGCATGGCATTGATGAATCAGCCCATTTACAATTCTACTGTGCATAAGAATATGTTAGGGAATAGCCAAAAGACACTTCAGTCAGTAGCACCGCCCAGGGGGTGCTTTGTGTTAGTGTGTTGTGGTGTGGCGTGGGTCGCCCTGTATGCTCAATCATGTTCGTGGCGTGGCGTAGCGTGGCAAGGTGTGGTGTGGTGTGGTGTCGGTGTGGCGTGGCTTGGTGTGGCTTGGCGTGGCATGGTGTGGTATAAGGGGGCATGGGTGTGGCGTGGAGTGGCATGTTTTTGTCTAAGGTTGCGGTGTGGTGTGGAGTGGTTAAGCAAGCGGGGGCATGACGTGGCGTAGCGTGGCGTGGCTTGGTGCGGTATAAAGGGTGGAGTGTGGTGTGGTTTGGTGTGGCGTGGTGTGGCGTGGTTTAAGGGAGCGTGGAGTGGTTTAAGGGAGCTTGGCGTGGTGCGACGAGGTGATATACGAACACACGATATCATTTTATTATAGTGTGGTGTTATTCTTTACCTAAAGTAAAGCATTTCTGGACAACCTGGAAGCCAACATGTGCCCAGACACGTTCACACTCTCACCTGAATGTAGACCATGCTGTAGTTTGTGGTCAGCGTTGCTAGGAGATGTGACGTCACAATGACCACGCTGACGCGTACGTCAGAGTCACATGAGTCCAGCACAGGGTTCCGGACCATCAACAAACACACACAACACTGGTGGGGGGGGGGGGGGCAACGTGAAACTTTAATAATAATGATTATAATAGTAATATAATAATAATAATAATAATAATAATAATAATAATAATAGTAATAATGATAATAATAACAATAATATTAATAATAATAATAATAATGATATTAATAATAATAATAATAATAATAATAATAATAATAATAATAATAATAATAGTAATAATGATAATAATAACAATAATATTAATAATAATAATAATAATGATATTAATAATAATAATAATAATTATTATTATTATAATGATGATAATGATGCTGATAATAATAGTAATAATAATAATAATAATAATAGTAATAATAATAATAATGATGATAATAATAATAATAATAATAATAATAATAATAATAACAATAATAATAATAATAATAATAATAATAATAATAATAATAATAATAATAATAACATCTGTCACTAGAAAGTAATATACACAGAACAGGAGTGGGTCATTTTGGAATAGGGTAGATGGATGTTTGACAGGAAATAAGTTACAAACCACACCAGAGCATCCGCCAGCCACCCAAATTAGTGCAGGTTGTAGAGCGAAAAAAACGTGCTTTGGGCTTAAAATACCGTTGATGACATTTGACCTTTTAATGAAAGTTCATATATCAAAGTTAAAAAAACAACAAACCCAAACAAACGTATGCATCAAAGGCAAAATAAAGCTGCTGAAAGTAATTTAAAAAAGGCTTTGAATGCATTAACCCCCAACAAAAATGAGAGATAAAACATGAAGAAAAGTGAAAAAAAGTGTTCGTTTGGGCTGCAGGTACTGAGTCTGTGTTTGTGGAAAGCCCAAGGCAAGCGCGTACCATTTGAAAGGCCAGACTTTCCCCTACATTTTATTCCAAGCATCACCTTTTAGCCAATGAGATGAGCAAATTTACATAATTGCGTATCTGTTTATAAAAACGTCGCACTTTAGGCTTGCCCTAACTTGTCCTAGTGGCGTCGGGGCCTAGTGGTTAGGCTACCGGACTCGTCATCGTGAGATTGCGGGTTCGGGGGTTCGAGCCTCAGCTCGGTCCGGCGTTGTGTCCTTGGGAAAGGTACATGTACTTTACACGAACTTCCCATTTGGCTCAGTCCTTTCAGAGACAGACGTTAAACTCGGAGGTGTCGCCCCTTAAATAACCTAATAGTGTTGATAGGGGTGTTAAACCTATACCATTTCACCATTTATAACGTGCCCTAACTCTGATACGGTCGCTTTTAAGGACAGGCGCGCTAACCCAGATGTCGGGGGTTCCAGAAATCTTGACCTACACCAAAAGTGGGCATTGCCCTACCTATAGGAGAAGTTTGGTTTCATTGGTGGGTATGTTTATTTGGTTATAGAGAAAACTCTCCTTGCCTTTTTAAGAAACTGAACAAGGGGCAAAAACTTTACCTTCAATTTTCTCGAAACAGCATTTTTCGGGATCGCCCCCTTGTGCTTAAAAGCGACCATACCCTCTCTGTGATAAGTGTGGACTACGGAACACTAGTATTAGTCTTCTGTGGTGTGGACTCCCCGTTTTACCTGCACGAGAGTAAGAAAGAGCGCCAACAAGAAAGGCTCCAGGTTTCCCTGCAGAGAGCGGGAACCGAAGATGTCGAGATGAGTCTCGGTGAGGAAGCTCTTGGCCAGTTGGTGGCACAGGAATGACGTCACTGTCCAGGCCAGGAACACGAGAGCAACGCGCGTGGCAGACAGACCAGTGGGGGAGGGGGAGGAGGAGGAGGAGGAGGGGGAGGAGGAGGGCGATGTGGAAGTCATCTCCGATGCAGGTTAGATGAGTTCTTGAGGACTGCTGGAAAATAAAGAAACCGACAAAAACCATCAATACTGTACCAGATCTTCCGCCTATCAAATAACGTACCTGTGCCGAGTGCCAAAACCAACAGCGCGGTCAGAAATTCGTGGTGCAACTTATCCTCAAATTTCTTTTTAACGAGTGAGTCAATGTTACCCACACTTTGCACAGCAGTTTGTATCAATTTGTCTTAGCTTACTCATATTTTTCCATAACAGTTGAGGCTAGATTAAAAAAACGTTTCTGCATACATTTATACAAGATACTACAAATCGCCTTCACACGGAAAATGGAAGTGTTCACGGGCACTTCCCGCTTCTCACACACATTTTTCATACGCATATATGGCCTACGTCACAGCTCACCAATGACACTTTTTAGTGGCAAAACTAGTTACAAGAAATTAATTTTATAGTGAACACTTGTTTGCACTCAAAAGTTCTCCAAACATGCGTTCAATAAGCAGAGTATCACGATCAGAAAAACATGGCGGACCTGCCTTTAAAAAGGATAGTGTCCCAGCCGTTGGCCAAAACCTTTTGGTCGCTTTTAAGCACAAGGAGGCTATCCTGAAATATGCTGTTTTGAGAAAATTTAAAGTAAAATTTTTGCCCCTAGTTCAGTTTCTTTAAAAGACAAGGGGAGTTTTCTCTACAACCAAACAAATATACACACCAATGAAACCAAACTTCTCCTATAAGTAGGACAATGCCCACTTTTGGTGTAAGTCAAGATGTCTGGAAACCCCCGAAATCTGGGTTAGCCCGCTTGTCCTTGAAAGCGACCTTATATTCTGTAGAAACCACCCACTGGGATTTTTTAAATTAGTATTTATTAAGGAATTTTATAGAATAGAGGTAACAGGTGTTGACAAAAATATTGATCTGCTAAGACAAATTGGTACAAATCACTGAAAAAACCTGTTCGATAGTTGAGGAGATATTTGACAATAAGTTGCGACACGAATTTTTGACCGCACTATAGACTTAGTTCTTGTACAAAGTGGGCAGATCTAGGCCTAGAGGGAGGGTTTCTCTGGTGGGATTTGCTCCTTTCCTATCAAATATCTAATATCATCTTCATCTGTCATCCTTCTTTTCTTTATATGTTTCTCTCTAGTGACAGATCTAATCTTTGGCACTCATTGACCTAATCCTAATTGTGTTGCAAATGTCGTAAAACTCGTACCACCGCTAGACTAGATTAAAGATGTACAAACAATTAGTTAGATGCAACACCCAGCGTCAAGTAGCTCAGAAAGGTCAAGGATATTTTCGTTGCGGAGGTCTCTCTCTTTCTCTCTCTCTCTCTCTCTCCCTCTCTCTCTCTCTCTCTCTCTT